TGTTTTATATAAACTAAATAAAAAGTCAATCTTCATTTGGCTGCATATCAACTTGAGCTAATATGAGAGATTATCGGAAAATATGGTAGTCAAATGCGAACTTCAATCGGTCGACCACCTTCTGATAATCCACTTCGATTTACAGCAAGAGATTTTCCTTCACGCATTGCATCAACAGTCACTCAAACAAAACGGAAGAGAAAGTATCACGTTTGTGCTCATACTGTGAGGAGAGAGAAGTCGAGAAGAGATACATTGTATGAATGTATTGAATGTGATGTAGGCCTGTGTGTAACGGATTGTTTTAAAGATTATCATACTCTGAAAGTGTTCTGAATTATGTATTTGGTCATATTTTGAAAAAATAAACATTGATTTGAAATTCTAAATACTTCTAGTTTAAAAAAAAAATCCCGGACTCAAAGGGTTAAGAACAAAACAAAAATGAACCCTATAGAATGAAAAGCCATCAAGAAATTTGGATTGACAAATTCTCTATTTTTGAGGCTTGTTTGTTGAATATCTCTCGTAAACGTCATCATATAAAGTTGAAAATTTTCCCATAGACTTTTCACACGAAGGGTAACATATTCGGAAAATTTTATGGAATTTGACTGTTCGTTCCTTGAGCAAGATCGATTTTTGAGAAGACCGTTATAAGAGAGATAAACAATAGAATTTCAATATTTTTTTATAGTTTTCGTAATTATTAAACATAGGAAGTTATATATTGAATTATTGTTGAATATAATATTTGTTTGTTTAAATAAATTCGAATTGATTTAAAGAAAACTTTCTCTTGAACTTAATATTAATTATAAATGAATCGAATAATATGGTGATTATATAATAAATGTCGGTGTCAATCTATATTTTATGTTAATAAACATATTGAAAAAGAGATTTTATTAATATTTGATGAATAGAAGAAAAGATTTTTTTTTCAGTTTATTTAATAATAAATTATTTAAAATAGTTAAATAAGATAAATTTTAAATGAATTTCTATATAAAAATAGAAAAATTTCAAATATATTTCTAAAAATAATACATTGAAATAAAAAGATGAATTATTTGTTTATAGAATAAATCAACATAATTAAATATTATTTATAATGATAAGAATATTTATTAAATCTATTATTATAAACGATTTATCTAATTAATATAAGTTAAATTTAACCAAATATTAATTCTAAAAGAATAAATAATATATATAAAATATGTTATTTCTAAATAATAATCTATAATGATAAATTATCTCTTATATATATATTATATTTCGAAAAATGAATATCGATTAAATAGATATCTATAATAAATAATTATCAATATAAATAAGAATTTTTTTATTTATTTTACTTTTTATGCTTTTTATAATCAATTATAGAAATCTAAATAAATTCTCTTTTGTTTATAAGTCATCTTTAGAAATGAATAGAAACAAAAAGTCATATATCATTTTAATTTTCTTCAGAAAAAAAAACAAACTTTTATATATATGATAAATATGATTAAATTCTTTTACTTTTTATTATATATTGAAATAAAATCCTTTTTTCATTTAAAAAAAACAACAAACAATTGATATTTTCTTGTCGAGAATAAAAAAAAGTAATGTCGAATAGTGGTTTTATTTTCTAAAATAAAATCAAAATAGTTATGTCTTATCGTGTTTGTGACATGCACCGTAAGATAATGATAATTAACATAATTTATTTTCAATGGTTGACATTTTAAATTTCTAAACATGAATATTTCAAGATTATAACAAACAAGAAAAAGGCAATCAACTTTTTAAATCATAGTTTATTATTTATAAAAAACAAATAAATAACATATGAGATAATTATCGAAGATTTTCATTTAACTAGATTTATCTTAACAAGTAATCAAGCACGTCTTCGCCTTCTTTCTTCTTTCTTCTTTCTTCTTTCTTCTTTTTTTTTTTGTTATCTTCATTTTTCCATTCTAATGAAAACTCAGTAGAAAGATTTGTTGAGAGAGAGTTACATTTCCATACGTCAAATATAAGAAAAAGATATTCTTTTTTTTTTCCTCTTGAGATGAAAAAGAAAAAAAAAAGCAAGAGATTGGGAGAGAAGAAAATGATATGATTCTTTTTTCTAATCAGACTTGTTAGTTATTCATTATCGAAAATAAATATTATTTAACAATAATTCGATTAGATTTTTTAAAGTAAGTTTAAAAAAAAAAAATATTTTATTTATTGATTTTACTTTTCGAGAATTAATATATAATATTATTTATTTTATTTCAAATCGGATAGATTTATTATCGATATAATATATTTAAAAAGAAGATAGTTTTATCTATATTATCTTTAATAAAAAGTGACGTCTTTTGTGTTTTTGTTTAATAATAATAAATAAATAAGATAATTCTATTATAATTATTTCTTTTCCAGATAATAAATAATGAAAATGAGAAAAAAAGAGTTAGTCAAGATTTTATAATTGTTTTATAGATATTTTCTTTTTTATTTTTACAATAAAGAATAAATTTGAAAAAAAAGTCAAAATAATAAAAATAATCTTTCGAATATTTGATTTAAATAATAAATTCTGAAAATAAAGAGTAGAAAAGAAAAGAATTTCTTTTTCTATAAATTAGTATTAAACTTCAATCGTTATTATATATAAGAATAAAAATGATTTAAATAAAATATTTTTTCTTTATTTTTAAAAAGAAAAAAGAAACGTTGATACTAATAAGATTTGTTGATAATATCTTATTATTATTTATAATCAAGAATAAATATCTTTCTTTTTAAAATATAGAAAAAAAAACGATAAGGCTTTTTTTTTGTTCTTCTTTTCTAATATAAATATAATATAATCAAACGATTCGAGTCATTGAATAAAAAGAAAAGAAATAAATGAAGAATTCTATCGAGTTCAACGACTAACCAACATTTTTTTTTCTTTCTTTTTTTTATTTTCTAAACTAAATCATTTTCCAGTAGAATTTATTTCAGTTGATGATAAATCTTGTTATCGACGACAAATCTATTTGTTTTATTATTATTATTATTTCGATAGTTTTATTTAGTCTCTCGATCGAGCAGAAACTCTTTCGAAAATAAATAGGAAAATAAATCGAAAGAACAATATAGAGAATACTAATATAGATTAACATATAACAAACAATACTCTTTCGCCTTTTTTTTTTCTCCTTTTATTATCGTTAAGATAGAAATGATTTAATATTCAACTATTGAATAAATTCTCATTTAAACGGTAACAATTTATTTTAATTTGAACTTTTTCTTAGTTTGTTAATCTATTTAATAAAATGAATAAATATATTTGAATTTAAGAGAGTCTTCAAATTTAATTGTTATTAAAAAGAAAAAATATTTATTCTCAAATATAATAAAAAGAGAAAATAATCAATAATAAACAATATAAAAGAGAATTTTTATTTAATTAGATTTAAAAAAGTAAGACAATTTGTGAAATTTTACAATTTTAATCTTATCCTATCGGATTTTTTTTTCGAAAAATTTCTTCTTATCAGGATTTAATTAATAAATTGTGTTTTTCTTTTTGTTTTTCTTTTTAAGATAAATCTTATTAAAATTGAAAACAGAAAAATTCATATTTGAAATGAGTTAATCATAAAGTAAATAATAATTTTAAAAAAAAAATTCTGATTGATCTTTATATTTAATATAAAGTTGTCAATAAGGAAACACGAGATAAAACTTCATTTATTCATATAGTAGAACTTTTTTTGAAACTATTTTTTAGAAATCGTTTAGATTTTATTAATCAATTTAAAAAAACGGCAGAAAGGAAAAAAAAAATCTATATTTAATGTTATTGGAATATTTTAAGAATAAAAGATAATAAATCGAATCGAGTTTGTCAGAAGAATTCCGCTACTCTATATATGTTAACAAATCAAAACGAGAAAAATATTTCTTTTTTTTTTTTTTTTTACTTAACATTATCTATTCAAAAAACAAAAAAACGGAAAATGACATGTCACTCTTATTGATATAGAAGAGTGAGATTGTTATACATTAGTTTTTCGCATAATTCAACTCTACATGCTTTTTACTAAAAGAATTTTTTTTTGTTAAAACATATTTATTCTCATCTCTTTACTAAAACTTCTATTCATATACCTTTTTTCAGTACCGGGTTTAGGAGGGGGGGGGGGGATGCGATCGCTTCGTCGCACCCACCCTTCGAGAGAATTTTTTCGATTTTTCCTAGCAAAAACGAAGGAAAAATAAGCTGATACTACCTCGAATACATGTGAAAATGTGTTTTTTGCCTATGATTGCACCCGCCTTCCGGTAAATCGCAGCCTCCTTTTAAAATCGTAGATCCACCACTGTCTTTTTTAGAATAATATTTACTTTTATTTTATTTTAGTGAAATATATTTTTTTTTTTATTAAAAAAAACTAATTATATTTATTGAGAAATTGACTATTTAAATAGAGTTGAATTTGTTGTTGTTCTTCTCTTAAAGAGAAAAGAGCAATAAAATAATAAACAATCTTATTATAAATAGTAAACTCTTTCTTAGATAATCAATAAAGGAAATCGATTTTCTAATATTAATCGAAATGATAAAGAAAAAAGCAGAAAACGATAATATTTTAATAAATAAATAAATGAAATAATAAAATATTATTATTTATTTCAATTCTATTTATCGTTGAGAATGAAAAATATTTTTCGTTTTGTTTTAGATTTATTATAAAATCATATTGATTGATTGTAGAAGAATTTGATTTATTTATTTGTTAAAATATATTTTATTCGAACAAATCATATCGATAATTAGAATAAATAAATAATTCTATTAAATAAATAAATTATCTTTTAAACTTTCATTGATTTATTTCATTGATTTATTTAATAGATATTTAAATCAGATATATTTATATTTAATATAATAAACAATTTTTTAACATTTTTTTTTAGATAAATATCATCTAGACAAATGACTTTTTTCTTCAATAATGATATTTATTGATTATCAAATTTTTTTTCTTTTTTTTATATATCAATGTAAGTTTATATTCAATAATAAAAAATTATATTTTTACTTTTTTTTTAATATAAATAGTAAATAAAACATTTGCTCTATATTCAATTCAATGTTGTACTGGAAATGATAATACATGTTCATCAAACCCTGTTGATTGTCCTTCAAATATTTGTTTTAAATTAGGTTTTCTCTTTTTTTTATATTAAAAAATGTTTTATTTTATTTGTTTAGTAATTAATAAAGTAACAGAAGAACGTGGATGTCTTGATGATTTAATAAAATTAATAAATTCAGCAAATAAAGGTAATAAAACATTAAATGATAAAAATGAATATCGAACTGGATCATCGAATGATCAATGTCATAAATTAGGTGGATATGGTAATGGAATGTCTTTATGTAAATGTACAAATAATTTATGTAATTTTTCTTCAAAAAAAATTCATTTAACAAATTTTATTTTTATATTAATTATATTAATTATTCAAGATTTTCGATAAGTCTTTCTCTTTTATAACACTTTAACTAGATTTATTCAACTTTTATTTCAATTATTAAATAAATAAACATCTTTATCAAATCAATAATCTTTATCAAATTAATAATCTTCATCAAATTAATAATCTTCATCAAATCAATAAGATAAATAAATAAATAAATAAATCGAACCTTTTTTTCATTATATTCAAATTGAATGACTAGTTTTTATTTGTTTTTATCAATATAATTAATAAATAATTCGATTTATTTCATTTGTAAAGATGAAAATAATATTTCAATTCTTTATTTAAATATAATAACATATAAATAAACAATTTTTTTCAAGTTAATTTATTTAAATATTTAACAGATTTTACAACAATAACAATTTATTAGAAGATTCATATTGAAATAAAATATTATTCGAGAGATTTTATTTGTTTTATAATGAGAAAAAGAAGAATTATTCTATCGATTATAAATAGTTAAGATTAATCGTCTATTTCTAAGTAAAACATTTTTCAATCATTCTTTATTGGAATAAGTATATTTTCATATAAGAGAGTGATCTTTATTCTCTCATATATAGAATAAATAATTATTTATTTTAATCGTAATTCAATCCTCTATAGAATATATCGAAATCTGTTATAATCAATGAATAGAAACAAGTTAATCATCTTATAGGTTTTATCTATTTAATCAGACAAAATGATAAAGATTGTTATTATAAAATAAATAAATTCTTTTATTTATATAAAACAATCTGACGATAAATATTTTAACTATTGATAATTGAGATTGAATTATATATTTTATAATTTACTCATTTAAAACATATATTTTACATTTTCATCGTTTAACTTATTTGAAATTGAATTCTTTTTTTAAAGGATTTATTAGTAAATAATGAAACATCTTTTAGAATTAATATCGTGTTTCTATAATAACAGTTATTAACAATAAATAGATTCTCTCGAAATAATTGAGTGAAATATTTCAAATTGTTTATCTTTACCTTGAAAAAATCGATTCGAGATAATATTTATAATATATTATATAAATATTGTTGAGATGATACAAGGTTAACAAATATTTCTATCTGATAAATAGATAATAATTAAACAATAACAAAACTTGTTTTTCGAATATATTTAATAAATATTTCTTTAAATTATAAATAAATAATTCTATATGAAATAAATAATCGATGAAGATTTATTTATTTGAAAGGTTGATTTAACATTCGAATCGATAAAATAAAGTGAAATAATCTTATTTATATAATAACAATTAAATTGTTTTATATATAAAAATCTATCTAGAATTGTTAATAACTAGAAGATTTTATCCTCAACAATAAATAAACATTTATTTAAATCAATTCTAAAATATAAAAATAAAAATATGATTTTCAAGATAATAAAAAAGAAAAATAAAATCCGATCTGATATTAACTCTAAAAATGATCGTTTTTATTTTTAATTAAATCTGAATATAGAATAATAATATATCTACTTTAATTAATTGATTTATGAAAAAGTTCAACCTATAGAAAAGAAGAGATTAGTTTCTATAGATATATATTTCAAATTATTTTTCTATCCAATATTTTCAATAAAATAAAATAAATCATATTTAGATTTTATTTCATCAAAATAATCTTATTTATCAACAAGACATTTT